TCCGACTAAGTTTGCAAGGTTTTTGAAATTAGATGTTTATAGATGTTTATTAAATTATATAAATGCGTATTTGCTGAATGCTGACGGCAAACAAGAAAGTATTATAATGTTTGCCTTTCTATTACTAATAATATAAAAGCAATCGTTATAAGGCTTTTTGTATACATTTTAATTCCTTTGTTTAACCATTCTATCTGATAATTAGACAGACTTATATCCGTATTTAGACAGAACTGTTAACGACAACAGCGAACAAGAGGGAGAATGTGAGCACTGTGTGTTCAGGTGCTGCCGTTCTCAGCACCGTCAAAATAAATGTCCGGGGCGCCGTCAAAATAAAAGTCCCACCTCGAACGCATCAGCCAAACAGGAAAACTTATCGGCCAATGCCGATATTTGAAAAAAATGCCAAATATCGGCCGATATATCGGCCTTGGTGATATATCGGTCGACCACTAAATGTACCCCACCGGGGCATGTTGTCACATTTCACTTCCATTTTTTGAGGGTAAATAAAGAAAAACGTATACACTGTAATTATGAAACAAAGCGACATATTTGTACTAGACAAGTGTGAATTTACTGTGAATAACAAATAATATTCTGAGCCCCATGTGGATTTACATAAACTGAGAAAGTCAAAAAGTGTTATGCGTAGGTGTAGACAAATACAATAAAACAGCATGTGATAGGTAGCAAATTTAATTTATTTCTATTTTATAGCGAGACTTTACCTCATTTCCGGCTGTAGCTGTATCCCTTCTAGCCACAACCCTTTATTGCACTCAAAAGTAGGCATGGTTTGAGTAGACAAAGTGATTAGCGAAGTCCTGCATACATCACTAGAAAGTCTGCTGTTTGTACTAGAGGATCCAGTTATGACATTTCAATTAAAAATTACGAGGTAAAACAAAAAAAAAAAGATAAATACTGTCATCCGAGGCAATTTGTATTACTGTGAGTGTGAGCATTTGTCCTAAACTTTTGATTCTCCAAACTTGCGTCGATGCAGAGTGATACGAGAAACATGAAAATAGCGCAGCAACGTTGCCATGGGCAGAGCCGATCGGCCCTATATGCTCACTACACAAGTTGCGTAGGGCCCCCGTAAATTACGCAAGGCCCCGCCTCCAACTCGTGTCAAAACGGCGCGGCACTTTCAATCTGCTGCAGAGACAAGGAAAAATAGGAAAGAAAGTGAGCAAGATAAGGGTAAGTGATGGATTTTATAAAGCTGATGTTGAAATGGTGGCTGCTGCATTGTGATTTGTCGATTTAATTCGGCATTTCATGAGAGCTCTGAAGATGTGAAACAACGGAGTCATGCACGGTGTTATCGTGGGCAATTCAAAAGACCAGAATAATTCGAGATACCTTATTATCCGAATTGTTTAGATTTTTAGAACATATATTAGCTTATGTATATATTTATATTAGCGACCAGTTAAACTAAATTCGGTCTGATTTTCACATTGATCTGGGGGGAAAAAAACGCAGACGGGCTGAATAAAAATGCAAGCTCATTTTCTGACAGGAGGTGGCGCTGAACCGCAGAAATACAGAGGAAGTCAAAACAGTATTTACATATTTGTTTGCACATATATATTTTTGCATTTTAAGCTGGACTAAAACAAGCCAATCTAGAAAAGAGATTATTATGAGCAATAATAATTCATAATAATAATTTAAATAATACTAATTTTCATGACCCATTGGCAGGTGTTTTTGCTTTATTAAAGCATTAATCTTAAATGTTTATATATTTCTCTGAAAGTAATGGTCAATGAACCGCAGAAATACAGAGGAAGTCAAAACAGTATTTACATATTTGTTTGCACATATATATTTTTGCATTTTAAGCTGGACTAAAACAAGCCAATCTAGAAAAGAGATTATTATGAGCAATAATAATTCATAATAATAATTTAAATAATACTAATTTTCATGACCCATTGGCAGGTGTTTTTGCTTTATTAAAGCATTAATCTTAAATTTTTTATATATTTCTCTGAAAGTAATGGTCAAACATTTAAAATTTAACAAAAATTTTTTATATAATATGAAATATAGGCTTATCTTCATATTTATATCATGAAAGATAAATAAGACAATTTTCAAAAAATTTACAATACGGTGTCAGTAGGATATGTGTATTGGAGAATGGGAGGTGGTGCTTAGGTGAAACCGTAGGTAGTGGGGGCCCCTTTTGAAAATCTGCTTAGGGCCCCCAAAATGCTAGGATCGGCTCTGGCCATGGGCAACGGTAAAATATCCTTTTAGACAGTGTTTAAATAAAAATACCACATTTGATCGCTCAATGCTGCGCTTGCCCAGTCAGAATCGAGTGGTCTAATAATACCTAATTTATTACAGATAAGATAGTGGTCCAGCAAGGAGCAAACCGAGCTCACTCCTATCACAGTGCACTCCTTTGTGCGCAGATAGAGGGGCAACCTTGCGGCCTAAAACTGCAGTTCAACCTCCCTCCCAGGTGAAGAGACGGGGATGGGTGTACACTGCGGTCTCTGCGTTATGAATCCAGGGAAAAATACACAGTAACCTCCATTAGGGGTCTGACAGAAGAGACTGAGCGTAGTAAGTGCGTACTAGCATACTAAATGAGATGCTATTTATCAGAGAGCACTTTTGAAAGCCCATTCACACTGTATACAGATGTGGCGGATGTACTCGGATCTAATAAGACGCTGAATTCAGCCTCGTCCGTGATAAAGTTAATACGGGATTCATTAGGACGCGTTCAGCGATAATTGATTGCGCCATTGCGCGTCTCTTACCTTCCCTCGCCTTCAGCAGCACGGTGTTGGCCACGATATTCTCAATCTCCATTGTCAGAATAAAGATCCCATGCAGTCCCGATACATTTCACTTAGGAGAAAAAAGATGAGGACGCTCGCGCTGTTGGTGGCGGTGAGGATGAGGATGATGATCGGTGGTGAGGATGGTTGTGATCGGCGTGAATTTGGCGTTGGCACATTGCAGGTTAATTGTATTTCTCCATATCTCGCTGTTGAACCCCCCACCTTTTCGCTCGCCGTGGACATGTACTCTCTCTCCCCCTTGTTAGCATTCAGTGCTCAGCAGTCCTTCCTGTCTCGAGCACTCGCTTACACCGTCAGCTCTGGAGGAGGAGGGATCATCTTACAACCAGAATGTAACCCAGCAGTCTCGCTCTCTATCTCAGAGTCATCAGGGCATTTACATTACTGCCAAAAACATATATATATATATATATATTTGATGAGTTTGTCACACAAAAACTATTTACTATTTTACAAAAAATAGTAAATACCCAACACTATTGCAAATGTCTAATTCACTATTCATGCATAAAATGCACCTTTTCAATACAATACATATATACTTTTCTTTAGGTTTGTTACCTAGAATCAATACTGCAATATTGGAAAAAATACGGATTCTTACTTATTTAAATGTTTATATATATAGTGCTGTCAAACTATTAATCGCGATTAATCGCATCCAAAATAAAAGTTTTTGTTTGCTCAATATATGTGTGTGTAATGTGCATATGTATTATGTATATATGGTGAGTTTCTCACACAAACAAAACTATTTTACAAAAGAAAATGTGTAAATACCTAACACTATTCCCTAGTAAAAAAGTAAAATATTTAAAATACATTTATTTCATATTAAGTGTAGCTCAAATCTTGTAACATATTTATTGACATTTCGCTTCAAGACTTACTGATATAAAAGTTATATTTAAACTTTATTTGTGCACAATGCACATTTCTTGATATTAAGTCTAAAATGTGTTTTAATGCCACTATTGATGAGGATTGTATGACCTTTGAATAATATTGGTCTTTAAATGCAAGATATTTAAATTTTACCCGAAGTATACTTGCAGTAGTTCCACTTTAGCACACTCAAATGTACTTCAGTATATCTTTAGTTGGACTTCAGCACTATTAAAGTGCATTAAGTACAAAATTAGTTGTTCCAATTTAGTAGACTTTAAGTATACCAGTTTAGTACAGTTGAAGGATATTTATATTAAGTACATTAACATGTAAATATGTGTTTTTAGCATACTTAGCATGAAATAAATATATTTCAAATACATTTATTTTACATTGTATATTTATTTTTCACTAGGGCAGCCATGGCTCTTTTGTAATGTCCAAACATAATAGTCCCTGAGTGATTTTCCACATCTCATAATACTTCTTTTCTAGGAAAAGAGGCTACGTGTCTTTATTATGTCTGTATCATAGACAAAGAGGTGCAAGTTTGGCTTATTTGTTTAATTTATTTAATTTTCCTGTGGAAGCAAAATGACAAAGTCACTCAGTAAAATAAACCAGGTAGTACCTCCCCCATTTCCCCCATCCTCCCTCTGTTTTTTATTTAAATCCATGTTTTCCTGCCAGGAAAAAAAAAACAGTGGATCTAATTCTAGCTGAAAAACACGTGGCAGTTTCCGGCACTTCTCACAGAATTCAGAGTACAATTAAAATAAACTAGTGCACAAACTGTGCTGCTTAAAACATTTACATTCGCAAGTTTGATATTTTTGTCCAAAGCCACTTAGAATGCATTCAAGGTATACATTTATCAGTGTGTGTGTATTTTCTGAGAGTCAATCCCATGACCTTGGTGTTGCCAACACAATGTTTTGAACTCCAGAAACAATCACCTCCAACATCTGTTTAGCCCTAATGCCAGATCTCTCTGTACTGCTTCTTCCGTTGTCTTTAGCTGAGGGTCAAGCCCTTACATGTTAATTCTTATTTTGTTGAAATATACTTTTGTTACCTTCAGTTGCTTAGTGTTTGGGGCGTAATACTTTTGGGTTTTTTTATGCAGTATTTATTTTATGTCATACTATGTAAGCTAATGTGAAGCTGAATAAATAGCTCAGGAGCATAGATGATGTTGGTCTCATTTCTCAGAGGGCATGAAATCAGATTATGATTAAATCTGTAATATCTCTCCTTGAGGAGTGCTGAAGTGTGCATTTACACAGCAAAAGATTCTGTGTAGCATAAATCTTTTTAAGTAGCACAGGGCCCTCTGGTGGTTACTAAAAATGACAAAAAATGATCAAGTTCAAGGCCAAACTCCCCAATACATATACTTGATAATCTTCTTTTAGACACCAATATGGTGGAAGTGCCGCCACATGTAATCAACGTCATCTTGCCAGAGCAAAGGAGTCACTTCCTGCAGCAGCTGGGCTACATCCTGGCGACTCTCCTCTTACTGGCTCTTATCGTGTTGGCTGTCGTTCTCCTCACACGTCACCGGAAAAGACAAGGTTTTTTTCTGTCCTTTTATTCATCCTTTCCATCTGTTTTTTGCTTTTTATTGCTCTAAACAGGCATGTAGTTATATTTCAGTTGTATATATAATGTAAATGTCTTTGTTGCACTTCAGAAGTGTCTTTCAGCCATATAGTTATATATAACATGTCGGTAATATATGACATTTGTATGCTCAAATATTATGTAATTATTTTATTTAATTGAATTAATTGATTTAATATTTGCATTTTTTAAAACATAGGCCAGGATTTTGATCCACGGAAAGTCGAAAGTCCACCTCTGCCGACGGTGACGTATGTGTGAGTACCTACTGATGTTAAAAACACCATCTGTGAACATTAGTTATGCATAAAGCATCAACTGTCAATGTGTGTCATATATCTAGGGGCCACACATCATGTGTTAAGAAAGAATGTGAGCGAAGCATCCCAGAAGTGAAGTCAAGCAACCAAGAGGAGACGAAGTTGGGTGAGTTTACCTCATATTTCTTCTCAAAATGCACCACCTGTGAAAAGAGTTGGACAAATATATCTCTGTTCGTCTCCGCAGACTACAAGAACAATCTTCTGAAGGAAGCGGAAATGTCCAAACTTTGCTCCCAAAAAGCTATTGACCTGGACAGAGGTAGAATCATTGGTTGTGATTGTTTTTGCCATTTTCCTTGTCTGAGAGAGGTTTACAAAGCTAACATGTGGCTCACTTCAAAGAATAAAGCCAAAAGTTCACTAAGACAACTAGAAATACCAGACTAGTTGTCGGAAGTTGCATTAAATTGCTTTCAATTGTTTAAATATCACAGTAAAGACTTCAGCAAAGAATCCATTTCTTTTGAATTTTCTATTCATCAAAGAACCTTGAAAAATTTTTTTATTGTCGTTTCCACAAAAATAGTAAAGGGTTAGTTCACCCAAAAATGAAAATTCATCCAAAGATGAACGAAGGTTTTACAAGTTTGGAACGACATGAGGGTGAGTAATTAATGACAGAATTTTCATTTTTGGGTGAACTAACCATTTAAGATTTCTTTCAAAAAACCAACAACTTGCAAACCAAAATTCCTCTGAAATTTGATTATGTTTTCCAAAATTCACAAATTCTCTCTCTTTAATTTTTTTTCTCTGCAGAGATGGAGAAGCCATCTTGGAAATAAGAGGTACCTTGCCACTGGCTGGTCCAGGGGCAGATTTGGAAACGGATGAAAAATGAAGTGCAGAGAGGTGATAATATGGCAAGGAAATAAGTGAAAAGGAGAGCAGGACACAGTTGTATCTTTTTTTTTTTTTTTTTT